GAGCAAAAAGCCGGGTGGCCGCATCTTCATTGGTTTCCCCACCACGCAGACAACCGGTGCAGGTATGCACATTTCCGCTCAGTCGGTAATCCCGACTGTGGAGCGTGAGGCGATCGATCTCAACGCTCGTTGGGTCAGAACCTGGAACATCGAGATGCTCCGAGCTGCTGGCATTATGACGAGACTGGCCTTCATCAACGAGATGAGTGATCTAGACTCGAAGGTTAAGAGCATTGCCGGCACGGGATCGAAGCTGTCTGCCGCGGACGCCGCAAAGCTCATGCCTGAAGCACTGCATATTCTCAAGACTTTCACGTTCTCTGATTCCACACCAAGCGGTCATGTCGCACAGATTTTGGAAGAGTCATTCTGGACTGCCTTCAAGAAGGCCTCTATTGAGATTTTCTCCTCTCGTGGCGTTTTGTCGACAACCAAGGTCCGAATTGGTTCTGACGAACTTGCCAAGTTTGTCGACACCATTCCTGTTGTTCCCAAAGAGCTGATGGAGAACTCGTTCGTCCGCAAGTTGATCGACTTTGGGCTTATTAGTCCCATTACTGTCGATGATGTTCGATCTGAGCTTGAGGCCAAGGCAATGAACAAGGAGCAGCTGATCAACTTTATCAACTGGGCCGGAAAGAAAGCCCTCAATGGGGAGCTGGATCCTCCCAGCAAAGCCAGACTTCTGGATGTCGCGGTTGCGACAGTAAGTGAGGACGGTGGTCAAGGCGAAATTATCGCCCTTGGCACCATCACAAACTACCAACTGGCGAACAAGATTCCAGCGAATCTGCCAATCCCTCCTACAACTATCCCTCTGGCGTACACGAACACTTGCACCGCTCCTGAATTGCAGGCTCTTGGCTGGGACCCTCTTGAAGTTGTGCCATGGCTCCGGTTCCTCATCGAGACCAGCTCGAGCAAGCCCGATGAGCAGAACATTAAGAAGTCAGCCAAGTTCGCTGTTCAGATTCTGACAGTCTTGTCCAAGAACTGGGACAACACCAGCCAGAGCTCCAAAGCCACCATCACAACTCTTCTGCAGGCTCATACTGTAATGCCTACGAAGATGGGCATGAAGAGGCCAACGGAGGCCTTCTTCCCCACCGTCAAGCTTTTCGATGACTTGCCTATCATCCAGGGTTGCCAGAGTCTGAAGGACAAGTTCTTGTCAGCCATCGGAGTGCGCAAGACAGTCGACTTGGATACCATTTTCTCCAGACTTCTGAGCCCATCAGCTGAAGGCGGTGTCCAGAAATGGAGTCACATGGAACTTGTCAAGTATCTCGCGTCTGTCAGGGATGACATTCCTGCAGAAGATATGAGAAAGCTCAAGGAGACACGGTTCTGCCCCGCGGAAGCCGGGCCGAGGGGAATGGAGCCAACTAAGGGAAGCACTCAACTCTACAAGGTGTCGGAATTGTTCGAGCCTAAGGACACTCTGAGAGTGCTCCAACTGCCCATTCTGCAATGGCCTGGCCCACCTGGAAGTTTCAGGGCCAACAGCAACGAGGGACGATTCCTGGCAATCTTGGGCTTACGGCCTTACCCCTCTGTTCCCGAAGTGGTGGAAATGATGTGCTCCAAGGACGCAGAGCTTCGGACCTGTGCAATGACCTACTTCATCGCAAATCATCATATCAACGGATATGGTTCCTTCAACCTTGCCGACAGTCGTAGAGCTTTCTTGCCTCTACAAAATGAGAACAGATTGGTGACACCGGCTGCTTGCTTCACAAACGAGGGCGCAGCAATTTTGGGCTTCGATATCCTGAAGAAGGAACTCCATGTGCATGCGAACAAATTTGGTGTTGTTAGAGATCCGCCCATCGCCGAGTGTGTCTCCCGCCTGCTAGCCAAGCCACCTCAGGACCGTCAAAAGGCCATCGCTCTGTTCGACTACTTTGCTCTGCGTATCGGAGATCTCGGCGAAGGCAGTTTGGCCAAGCTGCGCGACGCACCGATTGTTCCAGTCAGTCGGCAGGCTCGAGAGGGCAGTGAGAAGTCTGGCTCTTACGTCACCCACATCAGCCCGAAAAGATGCTACCTTGGGACTTCTGCGACTTACGGCAATATCTTTGACTTTGTTGACTTTGGCACCAATGCCAACACGTTTCTCTTCAAGTGCGGAGCCAAGAACGAACCTACAAAACCCGAAATTGCGAACCTTGCTTGCAGCGAGCCAGCTCGCTTGCTCAGCATCTTGCAAAGCCCGGATAAGTACCTCGCTTTGCTGAAGTCGTTGGCCGAGAACTGGGCTACGCTCAAGAGAGATAAGGAGTTGGTCAGAAAGATGAAGTCGTCGCCTTTCCTCCTCGCCGCCAAGGAGATCCCGTCTCCGAACAAGGATAGACTTGTTGACATCGACGATGACGACGCAGACGCACCCATCAAGCAATACCAGCTCGCTGCGGCCAGTCGAATTGTTGTTCTCGACGATATCATCAGCTACCGTCTTTTCAAGGATTACTTGATCACAGCCCCTGAAGAAGAGGTCCTCGAGGATTTTTACCATCAACTGGGTGCCCAGAACTTGAGTTCGCTGGTAGAGGAGGAAGTCAGAATTGGACCCCATGCCGACAAGCAAGATCGAGCAGCCAAGTTGCGGAAGCACGTGTTGGAGCGCTCAAAGATTTTCCTCCACGAATACGCCAATTACCGCCGAGATTACATCAAGCGTGATGCCAAGTGGCTGGAGAAGAGCTTGCAAGTTGAGCTTGTACGCTCTGTTGCGCTGCGTCGTTCACTCAGGGGCCACAGCCAATCACACACGGAGAAGAGATCTGCTGCCAGCGCTCAGTCAGGTTCTAGCTGGATCTTGTACGTCGCTGCTGACGGACAACCCGACATGTACCAAGTCGGACAGGCCATTTGTCAGCTCCTCTTGACGAGACCTAATCAGCAAGCCTACCTCTTCTTCGAGCCGTTCCTGACACTCGATCTTCTCGGCTTGCGAGCTCGTGGATACAACGTAGATCGTATTTTGCGAGCAAAGGCTGCTGAGGCGAGAATCGCCGAGGAGGAGCGCCGTAAGGCACTCGAAGCGGAGCAGAAGCGCATCCAGGAGAGGGAGCAAGAATGGGGTCAGCAAGCAAAGGCCGCCGAGGCTGCTCGACAGGTCGCGAATAGAACTCCAGAACCTGTCATGCCAGGCTCATTCGGAGCCGACAGCCCCGAAGAATCCCACAAGTTGCCGCCCCCGCAACCGAACCGGAAGAGCAAGAGCTTGTTCTCGAACCTCTCACGTCGCTTCGGTTTCGAAACGAATGATGACGATGAGGCAGAGGATCAGCTCCAGAAGTTCATCGACAAACCTCAAGAGAACCATCAGCACGGAGCTTCAGGGCAGCCTAGCAGTAGCAGCGGCAGTGGCTCGAACAAGGGCAAGGATGATGGACGTGTGACCAATCCGGCCACTGTTGGTCAGAACCTCCTCAACGCCATCAATTCGACAAGAGCACACGACTCGAATAGCGTCTTCTCGCCGCCTACAGTGAACGAGGTCAAGGAGCAGGCGACATACTGCGACAGCACACCAGCACAGAACATTGTGTTCGCTGCTGAGGCATCAAATACTATGAAGGTTTTTGTTTCCAGGAATCTCTCGACCGATGCGGGTCAATTCTTGTCGACATATCATAGCGCCATCAACTCGTTCGCCTCTCTTCTTACTGAGGTGGGCGGCGTCTACTCCCTCTCTCCGCGAGTCCTTCACATCTTCTACGATGAGTCGGGTTCCACCATCGCATTCAACAGCAACGGCAGTGTTTTCTGTAACCTGCGCTTCTTCCTGCAACTGCATGCCGACAAGCTCAGTAGATCTCAGGGAGGCGAAGGAAAAGCTGAGGCAGGCGTTTGGTGGTGGGTTGTGTTGGCTCATGAGCTGGCGCACAACTTGGTTCAGCCTCACAACTCGGACCACAGCTACTACACGTATGTCGATTCGTTTCCCTTTCCTTTGAGTTGCACTAACATTTTACAGGGAGTCATTCATCCAGCAATACTTCGCCAAGATGGTAATGAAGACGGCACAGTGGACCCAGCAAGCTGCTGCTGCTCCGGCCGCACCCCTTGCTCTCCCTCCCGCACCTTCCCAGCCGCCATCGGCCCCTCCTTCGTATCAAGAGAGCAATAGACAAGCGCCAGGAAACGCACGATACACTTTGTTTGATTAGAGGTCGTCTAGAAGACACAGGGCACGGTCATCAGCACGTCGTCGACATTGGCAACGGCATCGGGATCCCCAGACTTAGACTCCTATTTGATGACCACACGGTTGCCTTGGTTTGTTTCTTGCGTTGTAGGAGTTTGGCAGCACGAGGAGGGCATTTGTACATTTTAAGAGAATACATTACTACATTCAACTCTATTGGTCATATGGAAACTGTACACATCATGCAAACCCCTCTCGCATCGCTGCGCCCCCCGATCAGCCTGATTGGCGCAGCACCTGCAGCCTGATTTTCCAATTCCCTTGCCCTTCTTTTGACAACCCCCCGTGCAGGCTTTATCACCTCGCAAGTCGCATTGAGGGGCATTGACAGTATTCAACCTTTCTACGATATTCTCCACCAAGTCTCTGTTTCCGACGGCACATTAGCAGACGACTGTACCACTCTACCTGTTGCCCAGAGCAGCTCGACGCTATGAGGCTGATCGACGTGAAGACGCTTGAGCTGAAGGAGTTATTTGACGATAACGTTCCCCGATATGCGATTCTATCCCACACCTGGGGACAGGAAGAGGTCTCGTTCCAGGATCTCTGTTGGCTGAACGACTACGAAAACAAACGACTTGAACCCACTTCCCTGCCAGCCCTCATATCTCGAACTCATAAACGGCGGAAAGAAAAAGCACCCGCCATATTTCGTCGGTCGGGGTTCGAGAAGATCGTCCAAAGCGCGCGTCTAGCGGAACAAAAGTGACTGCGGTATCTGTGGGTTGATACTTGCTGCATCGACAAGTCGAGTAGCTCCGAGCTCTCGGAAGCTATAAACTCGATGTTCCGCTGGTACAAAGAGTCAGCCGTCTGCTTTGCGTTCTTGTCAGATGTGCGAAGCCGGGCTCGCACACGATGTTTGTTCGGAAACTCTCGCTGGTTTACTCGAGGCTGGACCCTTCAAGAACTCATTGCGCCTCGGGAGGTCCTTTTTTACGACAAGCATGGGAACTTCACTGGAAGTAGGTCATCGTTATCAATCAAGATTCAAGATATAACCGGCATCCCCATTAAAGAGCTAGAGACCAAGTTACTTCATAGGTTTGCTCCCGCTGTGAGATTAGGGTGGGCAAGAAAAAGAAACACATCACGCAAAGAAGACATAGCATATTGCTTGATGGACATTTTCGGCATTACTATGCCTCTCCTCTATGGCGAAGGAGGAAAAGCCTTTGTACGATTACAGCAAGAGATTATCAAAGAACACAGAGGGCAAAGCCTGTTGGCTGGGGGTTACAACGAGTCGCCGTTGATTCGCAGCACGTTCGCTCCATCGCCATCCTACTTTAGAAACTTGGACATGACGGATTACCCAGGTGAGACTTTCCACCTGAACAACAGAGGGCTCGAAATATCACTGCGAATATTCCAACTTCCAAACATCGGTGTTGGATCGATTTCGGACAGATACGATGTTCACTATGCAGTGTGGGAGGTTAATGTTTACCCACGACTCGGTTTCAAGAATTTCTCAACGCATCGCCTCTGCTTTCCATTACTGGCTTCGTCGACTGGTTCAAAGGGGACAAATGATGAACAGGAAATGATTCAACTTCCTTCTCGACCTGTCGTGATCAACGCTGGGCACGTCCCTAGAGGAACAGCCCACAGGAAAGTATTGATATTAGGACCTAAGATTCTCGACTTCTTTCGCAACAACTTCCTCAGGGTGCGCATACAGTTGACCGATTTATACAAATTCCTTCCATCGGCGAGGTTGGTGGAAGTGTTTCCACCGGCAGCTAATATAGGGTTCGAATCTATTCCAGGTGCATTTGCAACGCTGAGTCTATCTGTTGGAGCGAACCGCAATTATGGCACTCATATCTTCCGTTTCTTGGTTCCTGGCAACATCAGGAGCACGAATATGGAAGGAGATCGATCAATGCACTTTGCGGTGATTCTTGGCCCCTATTCTGCCGCTGCCGCCACCGAAACCACCTTGGGAAAGCCTGGGCCAGAAGTCATTGTGTCTGCGATTGAGTGGATGGATCACTCAAAATCTCCAGAAAGGAAAAGTGACAGACTTCAGGAAGAAGCGAAGCGGTTCTGGTCGCTAGTTGACGCTTTTATGGCGGGTGTTCCATTATTGGATGCAAAGATATGGTTTGACAAGCAAGTTCCCTTTTTTGTCGGTGGAAGGCCGTTGTCAGCGGCAACGACTCTTAAGTCGGGCGTTTTTCTTAATAAAGATCGTCCAGAGATCACTGAAGTTGGGTTTTCTCTGGGAAAAGGCAAGAATCAGGTTGATACCAGATAATCATTAGGGCATTTCCACTACGTCGCAGTATCGTTCGACAAAGCCTCCAGCAATTCACTCCGCCTAAACTTGCGTGTAATGGGATTTCAATGAAAAGTCCAAGTTCTTTACCGATTGCAGTCAAAAAAAAAAAAAAAAACCAAAAAAAAAACCGACCTCGAGCTTCGTGATGGTGGTAGTAAAACATAGCTGAATAGATTGTCGAAGGAAAATACCGTTCAGAGTTCGAATGCGTATTACTGTCATATACAGCTATGTTACTTCACCCCGTGCCCCCTAAGCCCATCCCTGAAAACGCCTTGCCTCCATCCCATACCATTACCCGTGCATTAACTCGTCATCATGACCGGTTAGGCCCGTCACCCTTTTTCGCCACTGTCTTCCGTGGGAGAACCACCACCTTACGACTAAGCAACTCCCGCAGTTCCGGTGTAATGACCTTCTGAACCTGCGGTTCTTCAGGCTTCTTGCCGCTGTTCCTGTTGTTGTCTTTGCTGTTGTCTTTACGCGGCGAGGCCGGCCCAGCGCTGTTTTCGCCCTGCTTGGGTGTCTCATCGGTCGACTTTGACGGGGAAGCAGGGGGGTCGCGGATCTTCGGAGGAGGGAAATTGCCCTTCTTGTCAACTGCCTCGACGAGACGCTGGAAGCGACGGAAGAGGGCTTCTGCGCGGATCAGAGTTGAGTCGAGGTCCATGGTGTTCGACAGCTCGTTGACTATGATTTATGTTAGTGATTGGTTTCAGGGGCAAGAGGGATGTGACATACCGTATTTCAAGACCTCATCGAAATGCTGCAGGTGAGTCATGATTACATCCCGATGCTTCTCAAGAATAGCCAACGCCACAAACAAGTGGAAGCTGCTGCTCAGGTAGTCCGTCCACAGGATCTCCCACAATCTCAACACGTCCATCCACTGGAACTCACGTTTATACCATACGAGCAACATGCGGAAGAAGAAGAAAAAGTTGGTGCTGTCGGCCGACTTGAGGTGCTCGTATAGCTTGGGGTCCATGAACTGAACAAGGTGGTCAAGGGTGAGAAGCTGAGCACGCATGCCTGACTGGTCGCGCAAGAAGTTGCGCTCCATGCGGTCCATGAAGTGCTGGAAGCCCCAAAAGGCGATGGCGTCGTCTTGCATGACAGCATAGATGGGGGCGAGGAGGTCGGACATGCCCTGCACGTATCCGAGGTCCTTGTTGTACTCGTTGTAGGTGAGAAGCATATCCTTCATCTGCTCGAGGTGAACGTTGGTGCCGACTTCGGAAAAGGGGGAGTCCGGGTCGGGATGAGGAATGTCCTCTCCAGCGAAGATAGGGACATTGCGATCTGTTCGATGGACATCCTTCTCTGTTTGCTTGTTAGTGAGTGTGCTTCAGGGGTTGAAGGATCAAGACTTACCGATGCGGCCGCGTTGTTCGCGCCACCATTCTCCGTCGTCGCCCTCGCCTCCCATATCTACCAGCCGCTCCCACCATGCGCCCTTGAGCTTGACGTACTCATCTCTCAACGACGCAATCTGAACCTTGCGCTCCTCAGATGTGCTATACCAGTCGTATACTCCCAGAATAAAGAGCCACGCCTCTTTTCGGACGCCATCATCAGGATCTAGTCCGCCGTGGAATACTCTCTCCTTGACTTCGTCGATTGTGACTGAGAGTCTTCCCGTCCGCTGATCGAAAAAGGTGTTCCACTCCTTCAAGTTGACCGGCTTCCTCCTGTCCTCGAGCGACATAGTACTGCTGCCATCCAAGAGCTCGAACTCACCAACATCGGTGTCCTCGAGCTCCAAGACTTCCCTCGCAGTCCATATCCTCTGGCTGCGATCGCGCTCGCTCTGCTCAGCGATTCCCATCGCCCAGCGGGCGAGGTATATACGAGCACTGTCGAACTCATCCTGCAACGTCTGGACCTCCGGATTCCTCAATAACCTCTTTACCTGCGGCGGCACGTTCGGGTTTTGGATGACGTCCTGCGCCGCCCTCCGCGTGAACGTCGTGACCTTGCTGAACTTCTCCATGATATTCCATCCAGTCTCCTTGATTAACTTCACAAACGGGTCCATCTGCGCATCGGCACCAGCACCGCCGGCCCTGGATCCTGAAGCGGCCCCGCTGGCACCGTCCCGCTGAGACTGCGCAGTGCTAGCGGTGACCTTACCGCCGAAAGCCTCACTATCCTCCTTCGACGGGTCCACCAAGTAGATATTGGGCTCGGCGCCAGATCTCTCGATCGGTATATAACGCTTCAGCCATCGCAACACCTCGTCGCCACCCCAGAACATCTCCCCGCGCTCGCCGAACGGGTCGAAACTATCTCTCGTCCGCCTCTTCCTCTTCAAGATCGTGCTCTGGCACTCATTGTCGTGAAAGAAGAGCGCAGGGAAGCTGTCGCCGGCGCGCGAGTTGATAATAAGCGAGCCGAACCACCATCCCAGACTCGGTGGGCGCACGAGTAGCGAGTAGATCGCACTCACGGGTATCGCGAAGGCGTACGTGCCGATGGATCCCCGATGGGAAGTCACCGTCGGCGGTGGAGGGACGAGGTAAGACTGCTTCGGTGGCGATTCGCCCTCGCTAAGGTCGACCTTGACGTATATGCTCTCGACCTCGCCGAGGGACGTTTCGGGGAGCCATGCTAACAGCAAGTCGTCGGCAGTGGGGTGCTTCGAGTCGCGGGAGGAAGAGGATGTCGGTCGTTCGCCACGGGCGCCTTTTTGTTGCAACAGGGCGATGTAGCCAGGGATGTTGTCCTTCGCTGAGGGTGTGGGATGCACGTAGACCTACATCGTCGTGGGGGAAAGCTTCCCGTCAGTTCCGGGCCGTAGTGGGGTGGCGAGATGGGTTGCGTTCGCGCGGGACTCACCTTGCTCTTGGAGAAGAGCAGCTTCACGCCGCGACCGGTCTCGGTGTGCGTGATTGTGTTGTACTCGCCCTCCTCGTCGTCGCTGAGGGCGTAGAAACTCCCGGACGGCGAGCGAGGGCCTCCCGGTTGGGGGGCGCTCGACGATGGCGGGGGATCTGAGTCTGAGGTCATCGTGCAGTGGCGCCTGTGATGATGTAAGACGGGATTCCAGGCACCCGGAGACCTGGGAAGTCTAAGAGGTGTGTGAGACTATTCAGCAGGGTAAGAAACAAAGATACGACAGGGCTGATAAGGTTCTTCTTGTCAAAATGAGAGCACCTGGAGAAGAGAAAAGGAGTCTGGGGAAGGCAACAGCATGTGAGCGAAGTGTGGCTAGTGATATGGGATGTTGGGGCGAGCCGAGCACCAAGGTGCGTGGTCATCGACAGCAGAGGCGGCGGCGGCGTCTGGCCACCCCGCTACGGAAGCTCGCACCATGTCTCGGAGGGGCTGTTCCCACTGTATCTGTACAGCCACTTAGGCGCCAAGTTGGTGCCCGCTAGCGGTATAGCTACCTGAAGCTCTTAGGCAGACCATGTCATCTGCAGCATACATGCGTCGTCATTCGCGCCTCTGGCTGCTTTATTGGCATTTACGTACTGCACGCGCAAGCAACTCGTTGCGCCGCTACTCGCGATGTTTTGACTTGCCAGATCAAGCATCGAGTCGCGGAGTTGGATCATCACGATGGAGTCATTTTGCGAGCTGTAGCGACCAAGACGCACTGGATGACGAGCGAACATTACGTCGCTGCACTTGTCACTGCGACGGACAGTCCTGATAGGAACCGCTCCTCGCTTGCATGCTTCTTCATCATATGAGTATTAGTGGTCGTATTTTGTGCCTCAGCTCTGCTCTCGCACCTTTTGGACGGCATGTCTCCCAGCAACATACATACCCCGCCCTCGTGCGCGAGGTCCGCGCCGCTGAACGTTGAAATACGGCCGCAGAAGCTTGAAAGTCGTTGCCGTCTGCCTCGCGAGCCCGCCTGGTGACCCCGGCCGAACAGGTTCTCCTCGCAGAATAAGCCCACGATGAGCCTGCCGGTATGCTCGAGATATATCCTCGCTCGCACACCATGTGTCTCCCGCCATACAAACTGCCCTCTTATCGCATTCGAGGACCGCTCGGAAGTCCAGTTCGTCTTGGTCCGCTTGGAAGTCCTGTCGGTCGGCCGCCGCCTGCATCAAAGTCAGTATCGTTGTTCAACTACGGTGAGTTTGCTTTCATGAAGGGCTTACCTCCGCCTCCTGCTCCGCCTCCATCGTACATGCCCCCAGGAGCAAATCGATCTTCGTAGTCACCCGATCCACCTCGAGCCGGTGGTTGGAAAGGTCCCTGGCTACCCCCGGACGCCGGGCTCGTCGTTCTCGCACCTCCCCAAAGTCGCTGCTTAAGCCGGTCCTGTGCTGAACCACCACCGCCACCACCTCCTCCACCCGAGCTACCGGGCGGTGTGCTCACTGCCTCTCGTCCGTATGCCGCGCTCGACTGGTAGCTTCCTGCCCGCTGGCTAGGTAGAGGCCGAGCCTGCACGTCGTCTCGCCCACTATCACCGGCCCTCGCGAAAGGGCTCAGTCGCGCCGGCTGCTCGCCGCCTCGCATCGGGGGCGGGGCGCCGCGGCCCTGCCGAAGGCTCATAGTATCCTGCCGCGGTTGTGCCCCACCGTGGCTATCCCACAGCGAGCTGAGTCCCGTGGTAGGACCAGGCTGCTGCTGCGGCTGTAGACCTCCGTATCGCGAGCCGACTTGGTTGGCAGGCTGAGCGTAGACGGGGGCCGCTGGCGGCGGCGCCTTTGGGTCGGGGGGTAGCCAGCCCGGAAACGGACGGCCCTTCTCGGTGTAGTAGGCTCTCAGCACTCTGCAGACGTGGGTGTCGTCCTCGGTGTCGCCGTCATTTTCGCTCTGCAGCAGTCGGCTCTGCAAGCTCGAGATCTGGGAGGTGGTGTTGGTGAGGATCCTCGAGTACCACGATGACATCGTGCCTGTTCCTTGCCTGCGAGGATCCTGCGGGGCAAAAGAAGCGGTGCTGCTGCTGCTGGTTTTTCGACGACGCTCTGGTGTCGGACGGGTTGGGGTAAAATGAGAGCTCCGGGACACGACGAATTACCGCGCTTCGTGCGTTTCGCAGGGCCAGAAAAAAGGGATGTTCGCTCGCTGAGTTTGTCGGTCGCCCGTCAATGGTTGGGAAAAAGGAGAAAGAATCGAGAAAAGACCCCCGGGTGCTGTTTCGTGAAGGCGGCGTAATCGTGGAGAGTTGCTTGAAGTGGTCTGTTTCAAATAAGCCGGCCTTTGAATGATAGGGAATGAAGGTCGACCTGGGTTGGGCCTCCGACCCGGGAACACTTGTGGCTCGGCGGCAATGACACTGAATGCATGCCAGCGGTGGGGCCTGCCCGCATGGTTCTAAGGGGACTTGCACTAATTGAGGCGCTTGGGTTCGTCGGTGAAGAACCCACCCCTCCGCCGGCGCTAGCTCCATGGGTACTCGGTGAGCGCTTGGATCATCGCCCGGGAGACGCAAATCTTGCTGGGTTCATCGAAAGACTTTTCGAGAAGCTTGTCAGATCTCTGGTGAGGGGGTCGCAATACTCGAATTAGAGTCTGTTCAAACCTTCAGTTTCCCTAAAATAAGCATTTGCCATGTTGCACCAGGGACATGCTCAGTTGTCTACTGACATGTGTAGTGATGAGACGACGATGTAGATGCGATCAACGATAACTCAACAATTAAAACTCCATTCTGACAGTATATGTGACAATGCAGTGGTATGCACAATGCCCCCGGGTTCAGCTTTTTTCCATCCGTAGCCAGCCATTAAGGTATTCGCGCCAGACGCCAGTGTGAAAAACACCCCGAGCCTCTCTACCAGGTCAATTCCTCCGCGATCTTAGGACGCTCCGCTTGCTTCTGCTTGAGCCTCTTCTGGTTCATCTTGACCGCCCTGCCGCGCTTGCGCTTGTCGCCCGCCTTGCGATCCGTCTCCTCGTCGCTGTCTTCCGAGTCTTCGCTCTCCTCGTCATCGTCGGCCTCCTCCTCGTCGCTCTCGAGCCAGTCCTCAATGTCCTCGAGCTCCTCATCGCTCTCCTCGATATCAGACACGTATTCGACCTCCTTCTCGAGGTCATCCTCGGACTCGTCCTCAGCCTCCTCGTCGGCCTCCTCCTCAGACTCGATACCGGGGTCCATGTCCTTGTCACGCTTGCCCTCACCCTCCTTCTCCATGGCATTGAGAACCCTCTTCCAGATCGACTCGCTAACGTTGAGGGGCTGGTCGCCGTACGCGCCGGATCGTAATCTCTCGACGAGCTCGCGCTCGATGGTCTTCTCCAGCTTCGCCGCCGCCTCCGCCTTGCGCTCTCTCGCCTCCTCGCGACGCCTGATCTTGGGCGCCATCTTCGGCACGAGCTTCTCGCCCATGCGCTCCTCCTCCGCCGCTATCCTCCGCATGCGAATGTTGACCTGCGTCAGGCGCGTGAGACGCTGCTTGCACTTGTGCACGAGGAACTTGGGCCAGTAGATGAGCTTGTCGTCAATCTTCTCCAGAGCCTGTTGGTAGTTGTTGGGCAGCTTGATGCGCTCCCATAGCTTCGACGGCATGTGCGCGCGCTCGATCGTCTTCATGTAAAGGTACAGTGTGTCCTTGTTGGGGGCGCGGCGGATCGTCGCATAGCGAGAGTTGGCCAATGGGCATGACTGGCGGTTGCAGAGGCCGGTGACATTGTACTCGTTTCTGCAGAACGTCTGCTTCTTGTCTGTTGAGAGCTTGAAGCTGCAGAACTGCTGGTTGATGATTTGCCTGGATCCAAGTCAGCAACAAAAGACAATAACACATTTCAGAGCCTAAAACCGTACCAGATAATCTCGTCGGACGCCATTGTGACGGTTTTGCAAACGAACAAACAAGGCCGGTGTTGATGGAAGCCTTGCCGTTGGTCGAATGCTGCGAAGCTCACGGGGAAAAGAGAGGCGGCGGGGCGCTGGTTTTTCTTTGGCAGTCTCCCAAAAAATTTCAGAATCGAGCAGTCGCAGGGATTCTTATCGCGATAAGGCCGGAGGCAAAACGGGCCGTCTGGCCAATGGGCGTCCGTGCGTTACAGATAGCTTCGCCGACGGAAGGTGGACCCTCTGAATTTCTTTCCGTCAAGGTCTCTGAAGGCGATTTCACTCACGCACTCAATGATGAGGGTTTTCCGGCTGGTCGTTCAATAGAATTATTCTTCGTTTCTCAGCGTTGTGTCAGTAGTCCATGCCTGTCTTTTTGCGATCGTCGAGGACTTTGGCCAGGACGCTGTCATCGTCCGGAACTGCTGCGAGATGTGTTAGTGGTCGAGGCCGTTTGCCCGGATCGGGGCCGGCTCCGTGGGGTCACCGTCGGCCGATGCGACGGCCTGTCTCCGCCGGGCCATCCATCCAGTCCAGATTCTTCACATCTCAGCCCGATTTCGGGCTCCGGGATGAAACAGTGGATGATACAGTGTATGCCTTGTCTACTGCTCAAGGCCGCGCCGGTATTGCGGTAATACGCATATCTGGTCCCGGATGTACAGACGTTAGCTGCCCCTGAAAGCTTGACATGCATCATATTCTGACTGCTTGCACAGGTCTACAAAGGACTGTGCCCGAAAAGGCCCCTGCCTAAACCACGGTATGCATCTGTAAGGACACTTGTGGACGGTCAAGCAGGCCATGACGCCTCTATTCTCGACTCAAACGCCCTGGTCCTTTACTTCCCCGGCCCGAACACGGTCACGGGAGAAGATGTTCTCGAGCTCCACGTGCACGGCGGCTCCGCAACAGTCAAAGCCGTCCTGGCTGCGATCCCCAAGTGTAAATCAGAAGGCAGGATCCGCTACGCCGAACCCGGCGAGTTCACCAAGCGCGCGTTCCTCAACGACAGGCTGGACCTCGCGCAGGTCGAGTCCCTCGGCGATACCCTGTCCGCCGACACCGAGCAGCAGCGCCGGGCGGCCGTCCGCGGAAACTCTGGCGTTCTGGGGCGCACGTACGACACCTGGCGCGAGCAGCTCCTGCTCGCACGCGGCGAGCTCGAGGCGCTCATCGACTTCGCGGAGGACCAGCACTTCGACGAGTCCCCCGCGGATCTGATGAGCAACGTGAACGCCTTGATGGCCGACATGCGGCAGAGCATACTGCGTCACGAAGCAGCGAGCCAGCGCAGCGAGCTGTTAAGGAACGGCATCCGCATCGCCCTCCTGGGGCCGCCCAACGTCGGCAAGAGCTCGCTGATGAACCTCATCGTGGGACGGGAGGCGTCGATCGTGTCGAAGGAGGCCGGCACGACGCGAGATATCGTGGAAGTCAGCCTCGACATCAGAGGCTACCTGTGTTCTTTTGCGGACACGGCTGGCATCAGGACGAAAACCTCGCACAGCGTTGCGGCCGATCCCAACGAGCCTGCGGTGGGCAAGATTGAGGAGGAGGGTATCCGCCGCGCGAAACAAAAGGCTGCGGAGTCGGACATCATCATCGTCCTGGCGGCCGTTGAGCCCAGCCGTGAAGGGGGCTTCAGGATAAACTACGATGCGGAAACGTTGAAGCTTGCCTCCGAGGCTCAAGCATGTCTCGTTGTCGTAAATAAGCGGGATGCAGTAGAATCGTCTACATTCACCAAACTTCTCACGCAATTTCGGAGTGAGATCGACGCCCAAGTGCCTGAATTGAGCAAAGTCGAGCTAATTACGATCTCATGCCGAGAAGCTCAGTCGCAACACACAATTCAAAAGGACCCAGGCGCTATCAATTGGCTTACGGACCAGCTCGTAGAGTCGTTCGCTAGCATGACATCTCTGCCATCGGACCAGCAGGACCTGCTGGGCGTGACAGCCAGACAGGCGCAGCTATTGGAGCAGTGCCGCGGGCTTTTGGATGAGTTCATGGCGATTGCGCTGCCCGAGCATGAGGGCGAGGAGCCGGACATTGTGCTGGCCGCGGAGTATCTCCGATATGCGGCCGATTGTCTGGCAAGAATCACCGGCCGCATCGAGGCGGGCGACGTCGAGGAGGTGCTCGGGGTGGTATTCGAAAAGTGAGATTTCGTTCTTTAGTCACGGAGCTGTCATCATGATCACTAACAGGAGATTCTCAGATTCTGCGTAGGAAAATAGTGATTAAGATACTACAAGCATCGGACGGTGAAGTCCTCGTATATCTAATCTATCGGGGAGGGGGGATGCAAGACAAGCTCCGTCAACGCCCAGGCACAAAAGAAAGAAAATCAGACCCGTTCAGCTCGATGCGGCGCAACGCGATGCTATGCTATGCCATGAAATCTCAAGAAAACCCCAAAAGAGCGATCCCAGCGCGGTTCATTCGTTGTATCCTGAACTCCGACCCAATGCAGTGGCGATGAAGAATGTGTGAAAGCAGGTCTAGTATCCCAAAGTTGACGAGAGAGAGAAAGAGAGAAAAAGATGGAAGTCGCCAGCCAGTGCTGTTGACCCTGGCTCTCCCCGCATGTTATCCCAAGAGGGTAGCGCGAAGGAGGCGACATCAGAACTCCGGTCTAATGCAGTGGCGAAAAAGGCGAGGGCAGGCACCGTTGATGATGTTGCCCATGGCAGTTTTCAAGACAGTGGCTGCCGTCCCGAGACAGGGCGTCGGGAGGGGCGGCCGCAGAGGCGAGGAGGATGCGGGAGGGTAAGACGCTTATTTGTCCTCCTCGTCATCGCCATCCTTGTTGTAGCCGGAGCGACCCTTGTTCTTGTCGTCGTCGTCGTCGTTGCCGTCCTTGTTGTAGCCGGAGCGGCCCTTGTTGTTCTCCTCCTCGTCGCCGTCCTTGTTGTAGCCAGAGCGTCCGTAGACAGCGGCAGTGGGAGTGAACATCAGAGTGAAGCCGGCCATTGTAATGGTTATGAGAGTTTGTGGGTGGAGGTGTTGTGGGTGTAAGTGGTTGAAAGGGCGTGGTGTAAGTGAGTAAGGTGGAGAAGTTGTGTGTGTGTGATGATTGTGATGATGA